AAGATATAGGACAAGTATTAAAAATAAATAAGAAAATAAAAAGTGCCTAACTGTTCCCACTAATGATGAAAACAAGTCCATGGACCTGTCAGCATCACAACCAAATGAAAACATGACAGAATGGTTGGGATTCTTCTTTTTTGCCTTATGCAACACTGACAAATTTGTCTGATCTGCAGAAATTTGGTGTCTCACAGTTACATCAGAGACACTAGAAAGAGTTCACATTTTACTTTTCAGCTCTCAGGGGAAGGGAGGTGTCATAAAATCTATCATTCTGCTCATAAAATGAAAAATACTGACCACAAACTAACATACCGCTCCACAACAGACTTTTTTTTTCTGTGACTATAGTGATTTCTTTTAACATTTCTCAGATTTGTCATTACTACATAAGCCGCTTACGAATGCTGCCTGGTGAGGTCAGAAATGTTGGGAATTCCTGGAAGAGTGAACGACTACACAGAACTCTCATAACCATCCTATTGTCGCTTACACATACAGAAACTCTGAACAGTGTTGTTTTGGCGGATGTGATGCTTTTTGCCTCCTCAAGTAGCTTGAATCATTTCTGTTTGAAAATTATGCCTTTAGCAAAACAGGAAGCTGGCTGCAGCATCTGGCTCAATTAGAGCCTTCAGTCTTCATCCTGCTCTCTTCCTGAGTAATAAAGATAGAGAGATACTTCAGAGACTTCAAGCCTTTTAAGCAAAGGTTCACCAAAATTGTTTTCCTGGTAAGCTTCTTCAAACTGTGTTTATTTCCACGCTGGCTCTGCTCAGGGCAAACTTACTGCATCGCTCCTTGGCCTACGCCATTCTTTCCAATCAATTACAAAACATAACTCTGCTCCCAGAGAAACAGATGTGACCTTCTCAGTGCAATTTGACAGATGTTCCCAGTGCAGAAAAGTTACCAAAGCACAGAATGTTTGCCCTCAGTTACTTCACTGTAGAAAATCTGCCTGTGTTCTTCCTGAAGCAGATAAACATTTCATTCATTGCACCCACCCTGCCCTTTTCATTGATTTACAGAGTAGAACGAACACAACTAAATTTTCTTTATTATTTGATAAAACGTATCAATGATAAAACTTCTACATTTGTATCACTATATTTAATAATACAGTTTAATATTGTTCAGAGAGGTGGATGCCCTATCCCTGGTGACCCCAAGGTCAGGCTGGATGGGCTCTGAGCACTGCTGGAGCTATGGGTGTCCCTGTGCACTGCAAGGAGTGGGAACTGATGACCTTTAAGGGTCCCTTCCAACTCAAACCAATCTATGATATAGTATTATCACTATAAATATGATATTAAATTGTAAGAAGTATTAACTGTAACTGTATAATTGTAAGAAGTGATAACAAAAGGGTATAATCATTAATTTCTTTCACAAGCACGGACATGGTGGCAGAGATGATGTAATCTTACAAAACCTTTCACTCAGTTCCCAAACCATGTTGGGTGCCTCATTTAAGAGACCAACCCTCAATTCTAAACAAGTTGACCCAGTTCACTGGGCACGTGTAGACAAGCCAGTGTGTTTTACTAGCACAATCCCAACCCATTTCAAATTTACAAATATCTGTCTTTTCAAAATTTTCATTTTTATCGCTTGTATTTTCAGAAACAGCCATTTGGGCCCAAACAATTTCAAACCAAGCACAGCAGAAAGCTCACCAATTTGTGGTGAAAAGAATAATCACAATGCAGAGACAGAGGTCTTCAGAATCTTTTGAGCTGCTTTTCTGCATTAGTATCAGAGCCAGATACTCTTGCAAACCATCTAGTGAAGGAGAAAAGATGATACCATGTGGCATATTCTACTGTCCTTCAGTCACAACTAATCACAGGCAAATAACAGGGCAAAACGCCTTCCTGAAGTGCCTGTCTCTGCACAGCTAAGCAAGGTCTTCAGTGTAGATATCTGCTAGATGTTTGATGTTTAGTGAAATGCATTCCAGCCTTTCTGAAGAGCAAGCAAAATCCGAAGGATTACTTGACTACAGCCAATGTGTAATTTCATAAAATAGCAAATGAAACTCTTCAGTTTTCTGATGAAGAGTTTTAAAAGAACTGTTAAGTAGGAGCCTCCGAGGAAAATAAAAGTCAGTTGCACCTTATATATACCATTATGCCCCTTGATTGTCTGAATTTCAGTGTGAAATTAAGTTTTGTGGGACAGTCAAGGCTTCAGAAACATAGGCTGCAGAGATCAGAAGGAACAAAGTACAAAAAGCAGAGGCAACAAATTAATCAAACCTTTAGTTTTAAAAGCAGCAATAGCCTAGAAAATCCCGAGAGTTGGTAGTGGATTTGAACTGCTCCAGGGAAAATCCCATATATATGAGGGTGAAGGCAGACTTGAGCACCTCAAACAATGCTCAAGATCCATGCCAACAAAGGAGTGCTAAAGTGATGGTAATGAAGTGCCACCCCTGAGCTAATATCCTCCCTGAGAAAAGAGACACACCATTAACCCAAAAACCGGAACAGGCTGCCTAACTTCTGAGCTGCCTTGTGCATGGCCAGAGCAAGTCCTGCAAACACACCAGTCTCTGAACCAACAGCCTTTGATAACCCCATCCTCCACACCACCAAACGTTGTCAAAATTGATTTGTGTACATCGTGAGACCACTTGGCTCTGTTACACTCACAGAAACCCCAACTGTTCGGTGCACTACAAAACAGGCCACATCTATTTGAATGGAATAGAAAGCAAAACCTAGACCAAAGTGTCAGAAGGCAAGCAAAAAAATGTTGATTCACTCATGTGAATAGCACACAGCCTTCATGCTGTGCTATGTCTATAGGCTTGACTTTTTATTCTTCATGTACAATTTAACCCCATTGATTAATTTTAGTGATATTATAACCAGGAAAGAATTAGTACAGCACTGACCACAGCTGAGGGTGACACTGTGGAGGAGAGAACGAGGAGAGTCATTGCTCCAAAGGTATGAAAGAAGGTTGTGCTCCTGGTTTAGATAGGCAGACAGAGAGACAGACAAATAAATAAAAGCAGGAACGGGAGCCAATGAGCACCTGTAAAAATAATCTTGCAGGAAGCACAAAGGGTGAAAGATGCTTTGTTTAAGAGATGTATTTTCTAAATGGAATGGAGGTCTCATAGAGCACAAGAAGCTCACAGCAAGCACCAAGGGTTTCTGTTTTT